TCTTAAAAGCTTTTTGTTGATATTGGTGCTGAGAGCTGATTGCAGAAAATGTTGGCAGCTGTGTGCATTTCCAAGCAGCAGGGCTGCTAGGGCCACTTCTAACCAGTGTGGGAAAGAGGCTGAGTGGGAACAGAGTGCAGTGTCAGCCAGCTGCTCATTTCTCCAAGTTAACAGGGCCATCTAAATGTTAAAATCAGAAACTCGACCTGCTCTAAACAATCTTCCTAGGAAACCATTTCAACAGTAACACCTAACATTTACTGAATGCTTAGTATGTGACAGGTGCTATTCTAAATGTATTGCCTGTATCAACTCATTTAACCTTCACAGTTTTATGAGATGTAGGTACTATTAGCCCCATTTTACAGGAGAGGAAACTGAGGTACAGAAGTTAAGTGGTTTGTCCAAGATCATGTAGCTAAAATATATCAGCCATGTATTTGAATTTGGTAAGTCTGGCTGCAGAGTTCCTACACTTATCAATTACACTGTAGCTCAGACAGCAAGTATTTAGGAAGCATCTTGTGCCAGCACAGTATGCTAGGGTACACAGCAGTGAGCAGTCAGGGAAGATCAGTTCTTAACTCTCGTGTCAGAGAGCACCCCATACTTCAGCTGCAGTGGTCAGTGAAAGCCTCGGCAGCATTTGAGCAGAGACCTGGCTGTTGAGAAGGATTTAGTCATACAGAGATCTGCGGGAGGGTGTTCTGAGCAGAACAGTAGATGTGAAGGCACAAATAGGAGAAGAGAATGAGCTTGTTCAAGGGACAGAAGGTGGCCCTTGCACTGAACTACTTTCACTTCTTAAGCCAACCACCTCTCGCCTCCTTGCCTATCTGTGATGGACTACTCCTTCTGTCTGGAATGCTCATGTCATCCCATTTTTGCCAGACTACGTTAATTGTCCTTTAGGGGTCCCCTCTGGTAAGTCACTACAGACCCCTGCCCCCACATAGGGTAGGTGCCCTTCACCTGTTCCCAGCTGGCCTCACACTTACCACACCCTACTAAGCTTGTCTTTTTTCCTCTAGGGGTTCCGAGAAAAGAGGCACTATCCAAACGTTAGAATACCCAGCCCCTAACACGTATCGGGGGCATCCACACTAGTTGAGTGGATATTATCAAGGTCACATAATAAGTGGCAGAACCAGGACTGAAAATGAACTGTGCCTGTTCTCAGAGTCCATGATGTTTTACACTGCCGTGTTCACAGGTGTAGTGTGAGAAGTATGGAATGCCCTGGCCTTCATCTAGCACAAAGCTTTGCCAGAGACAGTGGATGAGTCACCATGTGTTGGCGGCCCAGTATCTCATTGCCAGCTGTTCTGCGTGAGTGGCACAGGGCCCTGAGTTGGCTGTAATGAGCTGAGCTCTCAGCAGCCTGGTGGCGAAAACAGGGCACGTTTGACCAGTGGTTTTAGTTTTCTGTTGGCTGTTTAGGAGAAGAAGGTGGGATGTGTGGTTCCCCAAGATAAGCTGTTGAGGTTTTCTCCTTTTGCTTGAAATTAATCCAACTAGATTTGGTGGTAGAATTTCTTCAAAGGGATTTTAAGACAGGAAAAGGTTAGCAGGAAAACTAACGTGACACAGCCTGACCCAGGAGGGATAGAACTGAACTGGGAATTTGGAAGACCACGTGTTGGCTGTAATACTTTGGACAAGATAAGCATTGTTTTCCCCTGTGAGGCTGGGAGGATGCTAAGCACAGCCAGGGGCTCGCTCCTCCTCAGAGAAGCGGGGGCTCAGGGGCAGATCCAGTGCAGTGGCCCAAGATATGGGGAGGTCTCTGCTTACACAGTTCCAGTGCTTTACATGAAGTGGATTTGGGTGCTCTCTGATATGCTTCGAGTCTTTGCCTTGATAGCCCTGCATGAATTCTTTAGCATCAGGAAACCCACTGTATCCTCCTGAGGGTCCTCTTATTCTTTTCATTGACTCTGCAACACTGTCCCCCATCCAGGGCTAAAGTATAAGCAGCCTCAAGGCATGATACCCTCACTTCAGAGTTTTTTAGGGGCTTTTATTTGATCACAATGTCTATATATTTAAATCCCAAAAACATTCCCAAACTGTAAAACTATGATTCACAAATCTACTTTTGGTCTTGTCCAGGCTTTTCCAGTTACAATTCATAAATGAGTCTTCGAGTTTATACATAGTAATAAAAGTAGTACAGGTAGTCCCCAATTTACAGTGTTCTGACTTAAAATTTTTTTTGACTTTATGATGGTGCAAAAGCGCCACCCATTCCATAAAAACTGGCTAGGCTAAGCTATGATGTTTGGTAGGTTAGGCATATTAAATTGACTTACGAGACTTTCCATTTATGGTGTGTTTTCTCAGCGTGCTACCCCATCATAAGTTGAAGAGCACCTGTACCATTTTAGGAACTTAAAACATTAATGTTTCTAGAAGTCACTACCGTGGTGGACCCATAGTATGGGTCCTGACATAGCATGCTAATTTTGAGGCTCTGCTTCTTAGCCAGACAAACCCTAGCAGGAAAGATCATTGTGGCCATCTGGGAAGACAGAGTCCTGGGGTGGGGTGCCTGGCACTTGTGCCGAATCTCAGCGCCGCTTGGTTTGTGCTGGCACTCACACCTTTGGCCGCACAGAGCCAGCCACTGTGAGGGCCTCCCATCATACAGCTGCTGGCTCGTAATTCCCGGTGAGACTGGCAGTTGCCGTTTTATGTCTTTGGGTTTTACTATTTTGGAGTTTACCTTTTTCTTTTCTTAAAACTTCCTTGGACATGTTAGTAACACCTGTGGACTTAGCTTCACTTCATTCATATTCTGGACATCACTGAAGATCTGTTAGTCCCAAGTCAGTGTGTTGTTGCCTTGGTCTGACCCTAGAGGTCGTGCCTCTGCTCGTCTCTTCTCTCCTGACCTGATCTCTCTGGCACACCCACTCTGGTTGACTGTATTCCAAGCTGCGCAGTCTGCCTGGGGGACTTGGAGCTCTGCAAGATGTCTTTCACCCGGGTCTCATACACTCCCTGGAGACATTGCTGTGGAGTTTTTCTCCGTGACATATGGATTGCCTCTTTCTGGGGCTGCCTGCCACCACGTGGTCGAGTCTGACAGCCACAGTTGCACTGGGGGACCCAGACCCAGCATCTGTGTCTGCTCCAGCCTCCTGGCTGCTGGGAAGCCTGGCCCTGATGAACAGTCAGGCAACATTGTTTTCTTGCCTTTCCTGTCCATACTTTTGGTTTCGTTTTTAAATAAAAGGTACCATGGTTAGTGGGAGCGGTCTTTTTAAACCCCCCACTTGGCCTCCCCTCAGATGATCTAAGTTTTCTCAATAATTTTGAAAACTTATTTCCTTTGAGCAAATGAGCATTTCCAGTTACCAGCTATTGACTTGGTTTCAGCTACTTCTCTTTCATTTCCTCACCTGTAAAACGGGGAAACACAGCCTCCCAGGTGGTGAGGGTTAAATGAGGGTCAGTGCCCAGTGCTGGCCCAGAACAGGTGCTCAGTGAACATTAGTCCCCCTTGTTTCCCTAGTGGATTATTGTCAGCATTCTGAAGCTTTTCCTAACCTGTGATTAGCCTGCACAGTGATTTCTACATGTACGCTTAGGTTCTGTATAGGCCTGCACTGTCCACTATAATAACCACCAGCCACATTGGCTGTTGAGCCAAAAATAGACCACATGAGATAGTCCAAATTGAGATGCATTACAATTTCTTAAATACTAGATTTCACAGACTTGGTTCAAAAATAAAAACATAAAATCTTATTTTTTTGTATTGCTTACATGTTGAAAAATAGTATTTTTTATATGTTTAGTTAAATAAAATATATACAGTGAATTTCATCTTTTTTACTTAAATGTGGTCACTATATAATTTTAAATTACATATGTGGTCCTGTTATGTTTCTGTTGGATTGTGTTGGTTTAGGTCCTGAAGAGGCATTGTGTATAGAAGAAGAGTCATCTAATACACCAAGGAAATAAGGAAAGGTATAAATTCAGGGCAGTATCTTTAATATCTAGAATGTTTGTTTAAAACATCTAGCCCTTACTGGTGTGGCTCAGTGGACTGAGTGCGGGCTGCAAACCAAGGTGTCGCCGATTCGATTCCCAGTCATGGCATATGCCTTGGGTTGTAGGTCAGTTCCCCAGTAGGGGACACATGAGAGGCAACCACACATTGATGTTTCTTTCCCTCCCTTCCTCTCTCTCTAAATATAAAAAATAAAAATAATTTTAATAAATAAATAAAACATCTAAGTTTTATCCCCTTTAAGGAAACTTTACTTATGTACCATTGCAGAAGTTTTCTGCACTTTGAGAAACTATAAAAAGGGCTGATATCCTCCTTGGTAGTAAGCGTTCAACCTTTGAGGCTTTCGAAATTGTTAGGGTTCATTTGAAGTTAAGTTTAGTAAACTAGTAAGAATGATCAAATTGGAAAACACTTTGTATAAAATAAACCAGTATTTTTCTCATGATTCATAGCAGACTCGGGACAATCCCAAAAGAGGTGTTTTTTTTTTTAAGATTTTATTTTATTTATTTTTAGAGAGGGTGAGGGAGAGAAACATCAATGTGTGCTTACCCCTCATGTATCCCCTACTGGGGACCTGGCCTGCTGGAACCCAGGCTTGTGTCCTGACTGGGATCAGTGATCCTTTGGTTTGCAGGCTGGCCCTCAGTCCACTGAGCCACACCAGCCAGGGATAAATGTTTTGATCAATGATAGTATGTAGATGGAATAAATATGTAATTTCCCAGAGGCATATATTATAAGCCTTAGTTTTGTTTTGTTTTTTAATTACTATAGCTATATTTGAATATATGAATCAGTAAGACCTAAGTAAGTATGATCTGTAGAAAAGATAATAGTAAATGCTATTCATCTCATTTCAGAGACAAACAAAACCTTCAGAATGCTGACAATTAATCCACCAGGGAAACGGGTGAGGTAGGGGAGAAGAGTATAGATAGAAAAGGAAAACTTGTTTTTTTTCTCATTCTCATAGATGCTTGTTGCCAACATCGACTTGGGTCCTACTATTTTGGACATTGCTGGCTACAACCTGAATAAGACACAGATGGATGGGATGTCTTTATTGCCCATTTTGGTGAGTATAAAACCCTCAATCAGACCTGAGCCAAGACTGAAATAAATTCCAGGTTGTGTAAATTTCGACTTTAAAACTTAAATTTTAAAGCTGTTAAATTTGGGGTAGAGAGAATAGAATTTTTCTCTTCTCTGTGGTAGGAAGGAGTTTGCTTTAAAGAAGAATGGCCACATTTAAACAGTTCTCTATCCTTCCTACTTCCCATCCCCCCCCAAAAAATTATTATAAACAAAATTAAGATAGGTGACAAATTGGGAAGATACTTGCAACATGTCAAAAAGGGTAATAAGTTCTAATAGATGAGTTCTTAGCAAGGATTAATATCCCAGTAGAAAAAAATGGGCAAAAGAAGTAACTAATCAACTCACAGAGGAATTGGAAATGGCTAAAGTAAATGCAGAAGATTGCATCAATGCAGATCAAAGAAATGCTTAACCAAAGGAGGCCTTTACCGACTTCTGGCCAAGATGGAGGCATAGGCATACACACTGCCTCCTCGCACAACCAAAATAAGGACAACAATTTAGAAACAAACAAAAAAAAACAACCAGTACTGACAGAAAATTGAACTGTATGGAAGTCCGACAACCAAGGAGTTAAAGTGGACACATTCATCCAGACCGGTAGGAGGGGTGGAGTTGGGTGGTTGGGCTGAGAGGGGTCGTGGCAAAACAAGTAGTGGCTGGCAGACCCCAGTCATGGGGTAGCAGTGGGTGGACCCAGCAAGACAGCAGATCATGGAGGGGTGTGGCGCACAAGGCAGCTGGTGGACCAGGCAGACGCACATTCATGCACAGACAACAAACCAGGAAAAACTGGGAAGCAAGACAGACTGTGCAACCCAGGGCTCCAGTACGGGGAAATAAAGCCTCAAACCACCGATTGAAAACACCAGTGGGGATTGAGGCACAGGGAGAGACTCCCAGCCTCACAGGAGAGTTAGTTGGAGAGACCCACAGGGTCCTAGAATGTACACAAACCCACTCACTTGGGAATCAGCACTAGAAGGGCCCAGTTTGCTTGGGAGAAGCAGCGGGAGGGACTGAAATCCGGCAGAGAGCGGAGCAAGCATCATTCTTCTCTCTTGGACCCTGGCCCACAGGCAGCATCACAACCCAGCTATGCATGTTACCCCACCTTGGTGAACACCTAAGGCTCCACTCCTCACTACAGAACAGGTGTGACAAGACAAAAAAAAAAAGGCCCAAACAAAAGAACAAATCAAAGCTCCAGAACAAATACAACTAAGCGACGACAAGATAGCCAACCTAGCAGATGCACAGTTCAAAGCACTGGTGATCAGGATGCTCACAGAATTGGTTGAATTTGGTCACAAATTAGATGAAAAAAATGAAGGCTATGCTAAGTGAAGTAAAGGAAAATGTACAGGAAATCAATGGTAATGGGAAGGAAACTGGGACTCAGATCAGTGGAGTGGGCCAGAAGGAAGAAAGAAACAACCAAACAGAAAAGAATGAAGAAACAAGAATTCGAAAATATGAGGAGAGGCTTAGGAACCTCCAGGACATATTTCAACATTCCAACATCTGAATTATAGGGGTACCGGAAGGGGAAGAGGAAGAGTAACAAGTAGAAAAGTTACTTGAACAAATAATAAAGGAGAACTTCCCCAATCTGGCAAAGGAAATAGACCTCCAGGAAGTCCAGGAAGCTCAGAGAGTCCCAAAGAAGTTGGACCCAAGGAGGAGCACACCAAGGCACATCATAAGTACATTGCCCAAAATTAAAGATAAAGACAGAATCCTAGAAGCAGCAAAAGATAAGGAGACAGTGACCTACAAAGGAGTTCCCATCAGACTGTCAGCTGATTTCTCAAAAGAGACCTTACAGGCAAGAAGGGGCTGGAAAGAAGTATTCCAAGTCATGAAAGGCAAGGACCTACATCCAAGATTGCTCTATCCAGCAAAGCTATCATTTAGAATGGAAGGGCAGATAAAGTGCTTCTCAGATAAGGTCAAGTTAAAGGAGTTCATCATCACCAAGCCCTTATTATATGAAATGTTAAAGGGACTTATCTAAGAAAAAGAAGATAAAAAGCATATACAGTGAAATGACAGCAAACTCACAATTATTAACAACCACACCTAAAACAAAAACAACTAGAACAGGAACAGAACCACAGAAATGGAGATCACATGGAGGGTTAGCAACAGGGGAGTGGGAGGAGGAGGGGGCGGGGGAAGGTACAGAGAATAAGTAGCATAGATGGTAGGTAGAAAATAGACAGGGAGAGGGTAAGAATAGTATGGGAAATGTAGAAGCTAAAGAACTTATAAGTATGACACATGGGCATGAACTGAAGGGAGAGAATGTGGGTGGGAGGGGGTGTGCAAAGTGGAGGGGAGTGAAGAGGGGAAAAGGGGCACCTGTAACAGCATAATCAATAAAATATGTTTTTTAAAGAAAAGGAGGCCTTTACCTACTACAGCACTGGCAAAGATACCCACTATTTGCAGAAGTTAAGGAAATAGAAACTACTCAGACTCTGTTCATAAAAGTGTAATCAGTAGAAGCTATCAGGAGGCTAATTTATCAAGACATACCACTTCAGAACACACACATCAAGCAGTTCCCTCTGGGAATTTATTCTAAGAAAACAAAATTCATTCAAGAGTTCCTACTATGTACCTGGTACCACACAGCTAACTATAAAAAAAATGTACATGAGTATTAACAGAAGAAAACGGAAAACCTAAATATCCAGTAGGGAATTGGTTAAAATGTTGCACCATTAAGCCAGCACTAAATGTATATAGTATACATGTGTATCTGTATACATCGACTCAGAAGGATGCCTCCCACATACTATAGGGAGAAAAGGAGGTGTCACAGCAGCATCTCTTCTTCATTAAAAATGTACTTCGTTTTATTTTTTTATTTTTAGAGAGGCAGGGAGGGAGGGAGAAAGAGAAGGAGAGAATCGATGTGTGAGAGAAACATCAATAATTGCCTCTCACATGCTCCCAACTGGGAACCTGACCTGCAACCCAGACATGTGCCCTGACTGGGAATCAAACCAGCAAATTTTCGGTTCACAGGCCGGCACTCAATCCACTGAGCCACACCAGCCAAGGCAAAAATGTATTTTAATACATTTAAATATAGACACGTTTGGACTGATCCGTACTAAAATGCTTTAGGCATTTACGGTGACTCATTATAGGTAAATCTTACTCATCGATTTGTCTGAATCTATTAGAATTTATTATTAGATAGTATATGCTTCATATAAGAAAATACATGTAACTCACATTATTTATAAAATGCAAGAAATGTCATGACCCCATCGTCCCATATAAGAACTGAAATATTCCCATTACTGGCAATTCTACCTTAGGGCTCATTTTCCTGAATTTCATGGTTATCCTTTTCTGGCTTTTATTTTTTAGGGTTACTATGTACATATCCTTAACAACATACGTAGTTTTGATTTTGTTTTGCCCTCTAAAAGTGATACCCTACTGGATGTCATTAGGAACTTTTTTCAATCTAGCATTGTTTCCAAATTCACATTGTTCATAGATGCCTGATATTCCATTGTGTGCATGTGTCACCACTTAATTATCTGTTTTCTTGTCAGTCAGTGGACATTTGTGCCGTTCTGGCTTTGTTTTAGGAGCAGTGCTGCAACAGCCTTCTTACACACATCTCCCAGTGAACATGTGTGTGCACCAAGGTCACAGGAACTGCACATGTTCATTTCTACAAATATTACCAAGCTATTTTACAGAGTGGCCATCAATTTACATTCTCACCAGTAGTGTGTGACAGTTCCCTTCACTTTGTATGAAACTGTGAGACAACCTAAATTTTGCCAGTGTAGTTGGTGAAAAAGACCAAAATCGTATTTGGTCCTGCTATGCATTTTTTTATTAATGAGATAAATCTTTTTCTTTTTTTTATGACTTAATTCACTTACTATACATTTCACTCATTTAAAGTTTATAAGTCATTTGTTTTTGGTGTATTTAGAATTGTGCAACTACACCATAATCTAATTTCAGGACATTTTCATCACCCCAAAAACATTAGCAGTCACTTCTCCACTGCTCCCTCTCCCGGCTCCGGGCAAGCACTAATCAGCTTTCTGTCTCTGTAGACAGGTTTATTGTAGACAGTTCATATAGATAGAGTCATAACTATGTGGCCTCTTGTGCCTGGCATCTTTTGCTTTCAAGGGTCATCCACCAGCAATACGTCATACCTTTTTATTGCCAAATAATATTCCATTGTACAGATATATACCATGTTTATACAGTCATCAGCCAATAGGCAGTTGGGTTGTTCTCCCTTTTGGGCTATTATTAATAATGGTGCTGTGAATATTTGTGTACAAGTCTTCAGTGGACAAATTTTTCAGTTTCTTGGAATATACCCAGGAGAATTGCTGGGTCACATGATGACTTGCTATTTTAACTTTTGAGAAGCTGCCATACTGTTTCTAAAGCAACTATACCAGTTTATATATTCCCAGCAGCAGTGTACAAGGGTTCCAGTTTCTTTTTTTTGTCTTGATTTTTTTTTAGAAGAACATCAATTTTTTTTAACTTTATTTACTTTCAGAGAGAGGGTAAGGGAGGGCGAGAGAGAGAAGGAAAGACACACCCCTGGCTGGTGTAGCTCAGTGGATTGAGCGCGGACTGCGAACCAAAGTGTCGCAGGTTCAATTCCCAGTCAGGGAACATTCCTGGGTTGCAGGCCATGACCTCCAGCAACCGCACATTGATGTTTCTCTCTCTCTTTCTCCCTCCCTTCCCTCTCTAAGAAATAAATAAATAAAACCTTTAAAAAAATCATCCTAAACTCTATTTAAAAAAAGAAAGAAAGAAAGAAAAAGAAAGAAAGACCAATGTGAGAGAGATACATCATCCAGTTACTTCTTACTTGCCCCCAACCAGGGACCTGGCCTGCAACCCAGGCACATGCTGTGACCAGGAATTGAACTAATGACCTTTTGATTTACTGGCCGGTGCTCAGTCCATGGAGCCACACTAGCCAGGGCTTTGTTGTTCCACTTATTTATGCATTCATTGGTTGTTTCTTGTATGTGCCCTAACTGGTGATTGAACCCGCAACCTTGGTGTACCAGGACAATGTTTTAACCAACTGAGCGATCCAGCCAGGGCCAAGGATTCCAGTTTCTCCACATCTTCACCAACACTTGCTGTTATCTTACACTGTAGTCAGTGTAAAGTGGTACCTCATTGTGGGTTTGATTTGCATTTCCCTAATGACTAATGACATTGAGCATCTTGTCATGTGTTTATTGGGTATTCGTGTCCTTGGGACTTTTTAAAAAGATTTTATTTATTTTTAGAGAGAAGGAAAGGGAGGGAGAAAGAGAGGGAGAGAAGCATCCATGTGCCAGAGACACTTTGATCGGTTGCCTCTCACATGCCCCCTACTGGGGGCCTGGCCCACAACCCAGGCATGTGCCTTGAGTGGGAATTGAACCATTGACCTTTTGGATTACAATCTGGTGCTCAATCTACTGAGCAGCACCAGCCAGGGCTATATGTATTCTTTTTGATCAGTGAATCATTTTTCATTTATACCTTTTGTGTTTCTTTCCTTGTGAGATGCCCGTTTTTGTCCCATCATATTCTCTCTCTTAGTAACTTGTCTTTTCCTTATGTTAACATAAGACATCACTTGCGTTGAATGTATAAATTGTCTCTTTTATGGTTAGTATCTTCTGTGTCTCATTTATAAAAATGCTTCTGAACCTTGAGGTTAGAACAGTTCTCGTAGATTTTCTCCTAAAAATTTTGTGCTTACATTCAAGCCCTCATTATATCTAGAATTGATTTTCTTGTATGGTATGAGTCAGGGATCTAATTTCAGTTTCTTCTCTGTAAATATTCGGTTGTCCTTTCCAAAGGTCTGTCTCTGTACCAGTATCATTTTGTCCTGTTATAAATTGGTATAGTTAAATCTTTGTATGGGTGCATGTCTCTCATTGTTCTTATAGAGATTCTAGCTGTCTGTCTTCCATGTCAACTTTAAAAACAGCTTTTCAGTTTGCCTAAAAAATCATGTTGGGTGTTTGGTTGGAACTGCATTGAATCTATAGATGAGTTAGTAACTTCCTTTAACTTTCTCCATATAGGTCTTATACTCTACTCGCAGGGCCCAGGGCAGGCCACCCCAAGATATTCCACAATGGCATATTATTTTGAATTAAAGCTACTTAAGAAACTCCCATGCAAGAAGAAAACCCTGAATAATCTGTCCCAAGAGCAGGAGGTGCACGTCCTATGTGATACCATGCGATAGCTGCCCCCAGCCCGCCCCCTCGCTCCTGAGGGCTGAGAGACAACATTATCACTCCAGTTAAGAGAATCCAGGCGGAAGCCCTGTACTGCCTTTACTAATTTACCACCCAAACTTTCTTTAGATTTCTCAGCAATGAACACCCAAACCATGCTTAGAATCTTTTCTAATGAATATTGTCTCTCCTATCAGTTTCTCACAAATTTATTGTTTCTTTGTCTAAGAAGTCCAAAAGGGTGCCTAGTTCAGTCATTTCTTTGAGCCTCATTTTACGATGACTGTTGTATTTGTGATTCTCCTAAGCGCACAAATTGGTTTTTGTTTTATTAACTTAGTCTTCTGTCAGTTTTACAAGTCTAGCTGTAAGCACTGAAGGGGTGTAGGAGGAATTCTCCCCCTGCCCACAAGTTCATGTATGTGTGGTGTCTTCATTCTGACCATTGGGAGTGTTTTATAGTCCTTAGGCAGCCCTGTTTAATGTTTGTGAGTTCTTGTCCTAGGGTGTATTAAGCTATGAATTTCTTTAGTATGAGTTTAGAAACGTTCTACCATGGGGTTTATAGACAGGATTGTTCATTATAACCTGGACGTCCAGCACCTTGCATGTGACTGACTCGTGCTTAGCTGCTTTGTTGGTTTCCATTCCTGACCTGCCACACAGAAGTAATCTTGGGAAGTAACTGTAAAAAGCTCAGAGCATCTGATCATCACTTGCAAGGGCTCTGTAAATACCAGACGTGGTACTCGGTAGCCTTCATACGCATCAGTCAGTCATTGCCTTTAGTTACTGAATGAACAGTCCAATTGGTGTTGACTGCCACGTCCCATTTCGCAGAAGAATAATGACCGTGATCGTTTCATAGCCTAGGTGCCTCACAGGAACCATTTTTGCTCTTCTTTCTAGAGAGGTGCCAGTAATGTGACTTGGCGATCGGATGTCCTGGTGGAATATCAAGGAGAAGGTCGTAATGTCACTGACCCAACATGCCCTTCCCTGAGTCCTGGAGTATCTGTGAGTAGCAGTTTGCGTTGGCCTGGACAGCTTTCTCACAGATAGCACAGCAGGGCATATTAGTTCAGATGTATCAAGTATTAGAACCCTTCATCTGAGTCCTACTTCTTTCTCACTTGACTTTGTCACTTGACTATGAAAGATTAGTTAGATACGCAAAAGTAAATTCAGTAATTCTGAAAATGGAAAAAAAAAACCCTGAAAGTGATATTGCTAACATATTGTCAAGAATGTGGACTCAAATTCTTCCAATTCTTGTAACAAGTACACATATCTGCCCATATTCTTACCTTATTAATACCCCTTCCTGTCTTCCTACCCTCCCCAGCAGCAGTACCAGTTTTTATTATTAGGGGTGTCATTAGTGGCATCCAGCAGAGGTGGGGTCCCACCTACAACTGTGCCATCATGAGTGTCTTGCCAGGCTGGTCATGAGGATGGTTACAGAGATGTGGGCCTTGCTTTGGAGAATGGAAAACAGGCTTCCATTTGGAATTGGCCCTAACACCACGGTGTCATGATATAGTTATGAAGACTTAAATAAGTTAGAATTCTAAGTCCTACTTGGTGATAAGAACACTCATAATAAATTTAACCTGTAGATGATTTTACAAAGTTCATTTTAGCACTTTTTCCCCACCCTTTAGAATGGCAGTTCCTAATGTACCTTAGAAGTGACTCGTGTGAATACTGAGTTCTCCTCACCAACCCTGCGTTTCACAGGGGCCCCTTCCAGCTAATCCTCGTCAGGAGGTTAGCAGACGGGGCGGCAGCAGAACCACCACAGCTGCATTCCTTAGTCAAGTTCACCATCACATCAGTAAGGAGCAAAGCCTCACATCTATTTTCAGTTCATTTCTCTGTGGAAGGTTTCCTAATTTCTCTCCAGTTGTATGTCTGGTTTGAGCCAATTTGGTTGCCCCTGTAGACAGTTGTTACTATAGAACTCTCTTCATGTAACTTTTGAAATATCCCACAGCAATGTTTCCCAGACTGCGTGTGTGAAGATGCTTACAACAACACCTATGCCTGTGTGAGGACCATGTCAGCGCTGTGGGACTTACAGTACTGCGAGTTCGATGACCAGGAGGTGAGGTGCCCTGCCGCTCCCCACCCCTGCGTCTGTGCGAGCTCTGTGCTGGCTGCACTCAGTGGCAGAAGAGCAGGTCCAAGGGTGCTCTCTAGGGAAGGGGTTTCTTATCTGTACTTCCACTTAGGTTTCCTTCAGCTAAGAAAATAGAATTCCCCAAGGCCATTCTTTATCCTCTGCAACCTTTTTGGATGAGGCTTTCTCCACTCCCACCACCACCTGAACATGTGTTTTAAAGGCGCAGGTCACTTTTTCAGAATGCTGCCTGTCTGGTCTGTTTGCTTCCCTGCTAGCCTGGGCTGAGGGTCAGACACCCTCAACTTGTTCAGAAACCTCTGTCCCCACCACAGCATAATCCAGCGCTGCTCAGGTAGATTAATGGGGGGAGGGGGCCAGAGGCAGGACCAGGAGCTGCATCCTTGAAAGAAGGTGGCTTTCGGCCAGCACAGATCAGTGTGCACTATCTGTAGGGTCACGTGGACTCCGGTCCCATGCGGTTTCATAGTGTTCGCAGCAGGTCCTCCCCTGCCCCATCTGCTCGCCCACATTTTGCCATATGGAGCCAGAGCTCATTGTGATCGTGTTTCTCAGAAGCTGACAACTCACGCGCCACTTGCTTGTAGCTCATAAACACTTCGGATGACAGGCAAGAGAGTTCCCCTCAAACTCAGTTCCTGTGCCCCTTCCCCCGTGATCTTTATCAGCGCGACAACTACTTTATAAATGATGGTCTCAGGGCGGCCACTGGAAGCCAGCAGGCCAGATTTCCTGCCATCCTCATAGTCTATCACTTGACTCCAGTTTGGAGAACAAAGTGCAAACAGATGGTGGGAAATGTGATATTAGACATGTCTAATGTTAGAAGTAGTAGCATTGTATCCTTCAGCAGTGCATCCAAAGCTGCTTTTTAAAATAGGCAAACCTAACATTTGTATAACACAGGTTTGAGTACTTTCCTGTCTTCACAATTCTGAGGCAAAAATACACCTTCATATGTCAGCTTCCACTCGGTAACTTCATTACCAAGTCTAGTTTCTGAGACCTTGTCCTTTGAGGGTTATGCCTTCTGTTGTCTGCTTTAATTATAGAAAGTAATCCCTGCCGCCACTGCCCCCTCCCGGCTCTGCCTGAAACAGGCCCCTTTCCAACATGTGGGCCATGGACTGAAGCAATTCAACCCCAGAACAGATGCTCCATTGTCTCATGTACACCCTTGGGCTCTCTGAGGGTCTTTTTTAATTTTCCTTTGAGGATCTTAAAACCAGATGATATTCTCCTGGGCCTTGGGTGTTGTCTGCCTCCTCCCTCCCTATTTAGAAATAGTTCATGTGAGTATTTCTTTAAGTGTAACCCCTTGCTCTTTTCTTTCCTCCATCTTTCCTGTAGGTGTTCGTAGAAGTCTATAACCTGACTGCAGACCCACACCAGATCACCAACATTGCTAAAAGTATAGACCCAGAGCTCTTAGGAAAGATGAACTACCGGCTAATGATGTTACAGTCCTGTTCCGGACCGACCTGCCGCACTCCGGGGGTTTTTGACCCCGGGTAAGTTTCTGTTTTCTTCAGTGACTTTGCCAAGTTATCTCAAGCAGTTGTGCTGGTCCTGAGAGCCGGGGGCGGCGGGGAGCCTGATGGATCCTTCTCACCTAGAGCTGTACAGTGGGAATCCCGTGTCTTAGTGTGCCAGCCTGTTGTGCTGCGAACGAAAACAAGCTGTTTGAAACTCCTGCTTTTCGGTGCCAACTGGTGCTTTAGTTACAGGTGTAGCCCCACTCCTCACTGCTGAGGCTCTTCTGCCTCCCCTCCTGCCTTTGATTCTGGTCAAGGTGCCACTCGACCGTACCAGTGACAGCTGGGGGTCCTTCAGAGTAACTGACCAAGTGCTACCCTGTTTCCTAGCACTTCCGAGGGCATGCGCCTTCTGTGTCATTTCTCAGAGATATGGGCACTTGCCAGTAAATGTATTAAACGTATTAAACACAGACAGTGAGGTAGAAGGTAAGAACTGTGACATGCTGAAGTATATGTGTCCACTGCAGCATGCAGAGGTAGGGAAGATGTTTACCTCCCTCCCCCTAGGCCAGCTCTGTTCCTCCCCCGCTCCTTCCTCTCCAGCAGCCCCTCTTCCCCACTACCCCTGGGCTCCGCACACCATGCATTTGAGCCGCTGATGGCGAAATCTGTCAGCTTTTGCTTGAAAATTATAAAATTAAAAATTAAGCTTTCACTGGGAAAAGAGTATTTCAGTTCTTAGACTCTGATCATAAGACAGAGGGGAGAAATGTCCTAAACCAGTGGAGAGTAGCATTGTTACTGTTTAGTCATTTCATATGAAGTGATTCTTCAGGCCAAATGTGAGAGGATGTATTGAGTTGGCCAAAAAGTCTGTTTAGTTTTTTCTGTAAAGTAAAAGGCATTTTTAAAATTTCACCAATAATGTTATTGATTTGGATATTTTGAGTATGTCAGCTATCTCCTGAGTGGTATAACATTGATTGTTCTCAATTAATGTCTCAATTTCATTGCTCTGAACTTCAGCTGGTCTGCAGAAGTATCACCCAGCGAGACATGTCCAGCATAAAACTTCATAAACCACTTTTGACACATTCTATCAGTCGCAGCACCTTCTCTATACACTGCACAAATCTTTTCTTGCATTTCAGTTGCATTTTTACCTTTCTTGAAATAATAAAGCATAATATGCTGAAAATTTTGCATATTTTCTTCCATCTTAAATATTAAAATGGCTGCACAAAAATTCACAAATTTTGATGTTTTTTCAAATGCACACTGATATCACAGCTGTCACAATACAATCTAACAAAATTGTTTTGAATGAAGTTAAAAATAACTAAGTGCTACTAGAGCCATCTTATGGGAAAAAAAACAACAAACTTTTTGGCCAACCCAATATGGAAATGAGTAGACAAACTGGATTCTCATTTTAAAACTCATTTTTTAAAAATTCCTTAGCCATAGCTTATGCTCTCCTACCAAACAAACATTTAGGCCTGTGGAATCACACAGGCCCAGTCCATCCCCCACCTGTTACAAGACAGCCACACACTCGCTCACATACTGTGTGTGGCCACTTTTACACATCAGTAAAATTGAGTAATGGGGACAGAGACTGAATGGCCCACAAACCCTAAAATATTTATTACCTGGCCCTTTAAAAAAAATTGGCCAGCCCCTGCTTTAAAATAATAGTAGGAATTTGTTCCAGAAGATAGTAGGTACAAGAAACAGTAAAATACAGCGTTATTTCTAGCCCTCCCATACATATATGGTAAGTCTCTCTATGCTTGCCAAGTCTCAGCTCACGTTACCATTCAGCATTCACTATAACTTTCTCATGGGTGGTAAAATAAGTTATTTTATGTGCCAGGCATTGTACATAAATTTCCTTCCTATTTTATTGGTGGCCAGTGGGGTTAATGATTTACCTGAGTTCACCGTGAGCCAGATTTAAACTCCTGCCTGAGGCGCACACCTGTGCTCTTGCCCACCACTTGGCTGTAAGAGAAGGGCTTTGAAGCTGCTGGGAGGGCCTTCAGCAAGAGCTGGGCTCACCCGTCAGGCTGCTTTATATCTTACGGACCACCCCCACCCCTCAAAAAAAAAAGTTCAAATCTTGCCTCTTTCCTAAGGCCTTCTGAGATTAACCTGACTTCTGTTTCTCCCCCGCCGCCCCCCCACCCCCTGTCCTCTCTCCTCCTCCTGCATTGTTTTGTGCTAGTTGACTTGCAGTGGAAATGCCCTTATCAAGTACTCCTGTTTTGCACTACAAACTTTACTAGATTCTCTTCTGGTGGATTGATTATTCCTTTGCTATCTCTTCCTGCCATCCTTTCCAGTTAACATTCTGCAGGAAGTTCTCAGTGGCTAACTACAGCTAACGTGGCATCCTTGTATCTTTCTTCCCCAGATACCGGTTTGACCCTCGTCTCATGTTCAACAATTATGGTGGTGGCAGGACTCGAAGGTTTTCAAAACATCTTCTGTAGCGACCTCTGCAGTTGGGTCCCTGCACACCTCTCTCTGATGAAGTGATTGTAGTAGGTGTCTGTAGCTAGTCTTCAAGACCACACCTGGAAGGGTTTCCGAACTGGCTTTACGTCGTTTTAAAAAGCAACCCAGTCAGCTGACCAACCTGTGCAATGTGTTAAACTGTGAACTCTGCCCTCACGTCAGGAGCGGCTTTCCCTGGTCCCTCATTCAGCTCATCCCACTGCTCCTGAGGTCTTTGCTCCCACCATCCCCTTTCTGTCCTGGGGCTGCAGTTCTTGGTTACTCCCCATGCAGTCCAAGTCTCAATTTATAAACCCATTCAGATAAATGGCAGTGCTTTGGGGGGCAATGTTTTTGATCTACAGCTTGAACTAAAATCAAAGGATCTGTACAGCATTTCAGATTGAGCACTTCACTATCAAAAAATACTAACATCACAGGGCTTGAAGAATAACTATTAGAGCTAAATCATCTGATTAAGAACAAGTACCATTGTCTAGAATAGCAGAAATGTATCATTGATAATATTCATCACAGTGTGATGAGATAAGGGTGCAAATTCAAACCACACACTATCAACCACACACTGTTCGTTTTGGGGGCATTCTGGGCTGGTACTGCACTGAAATAGAAGCAGGCTTCGGTACAGGCTAATTCCCAGTGGTTAGTGCCAGTGAGAGCCAGTGGTGTCAAGGGTGTGTCTGTTCTCTCCATACTTCTCCCTCTGAGCACTGAAAAATGAAGTGGGTTGGGTAAACTCAGCAGAGAAAAATGACTTCTGAGCATTGGTGAAGCTTGTGTTTCTGAGGGCCTTCTGCAGGTAGGGGCCCCCCGGCTGGCAGGCCGAAGGGCTCCGGTTGGGGTGCAGTAAGTGCCTGTCCAGCAGGGAGTCTGGGTTTCAGTCCCAGTGAAGTTGTTCTGATTCTGCATTTTGCTGACATTCTGTTCATTTAAGATACAGAAATTTCTTACAGTTGATGAAAGTATCAGCTTCTTCACCCTATCTTCTTCCCTTTCAGTTTCTTCCTGTTTGGGGGGTCATGTGTAATTTCAGCCTCATTCACTATTCTCATCAAAACCAGATGTTGCTGAGGTTTCCTCACTATTTAGAACACCTATATTTTTCTGTTTCTTGGCTTGAAGCCCAATCCCATTTCCACCCTTTTCTTCACAAGAAAGCCGATTGGTGGAGGGACAGCAGGAAAGGAGGAAGAGCTGTGGTTTGTGACCTGTTCAACTCAGGCAGTAGCGATTTTAGCTTTATTTAAGGTCTTAGGCTGAGCTTTAAGCACTGTGTGAGACATGGTCATAAGCAACTTTCCTAGCAGAATGCCAGCGAACCGTGGTGGGTTAATAGCTGTTGTGTTTATTCCTGTACCTCATGCAGCCCCACTAACTGGTGGCATTTAGAGGTGAAGTAAGCAAATGAAGTGAACACCTCTGCTGTGAATGTTTTAGGGAAAAATAAAGATTTGTAACTAAAAGCAAAGTACAATGTTAAACATGGGTTTCAGCTTTATTCTATACTTTTGATTCTTAACATTACTCAGTCAATTTCCAAATCAATGCCATAGTTACTCCCGAATAAAAAGAAACCAACTCTTGTACTGTGATGTCATCTTACTCACTTAATTCATTTTATGATGCTGGTTCCTGGAAGCAGGTACAGTCATAGAGCGACCCACCAGTCAGCTGCCAACACATCCCTGTCATGTTGCTCTGACGGCCAGTGGGCTTCCGTCAGGTGATGGGGACACAGCGAGGCTCTGTTGGTGCGTCTCCTGCCCAACTGTTGAACGGCCTCCAGGGGGACTCTTTCCCTGGGGAAGGCTTCATTCTGGCTCTGTGCTGAAATCTTTCATGAAGAGGCCTCAGCTTACAGAGTCTAGGAGACTACAAAATGCACTGAACTTTTGAAAATGTCTGTGTACAAGGGACCCACTGCCAAGAGGCTTGCCTTGGTTTCCTTTTAATTGTACTCTTAAATTTTATTTTCTATTGTAAGAAGGCCAGATCCATATCTGTTGGTACTCTTCAGAGTAGAGAACTATATACCCATTAATAATGAAGAAAGGCCATAGGAATAGATAGATTTTTTGCCTTATAAAAATCTATTACAAAGCTCTTCCTCATATACAGTTACCAAGTAGGAAACACCTTTTGAACATCTTTGGATTTTACCAATGGTGCTGTTGCAAAATACATGGGGGATCAATATATTTTGTCAATACAAATTGACAGCGCTAGGGTTTGTACAAAATAGAAATGATAGCCATGGAAGTTATACCTTAATCTATAAAAAATGTTCTTAATTTTCAAGTATCTAAGGATTTGTGCTCTTTTTTTTTTAACAAAAGATTTGTCCCAGGATCCTTATAGAAAGCAAAGGTATTTCACCTGATCCACCAGTGGAGTTAGATGGGAATATTTGGGTTCTTTAGTTTTACCTCCACTTACATCCCACTGAACTTTGTGAACTCCTGTTTGCATCATCTTGTCCTGGAAGTTACTCCGCCCTGGTTCTGTGTCATTTCAGTCATTTGACTTAGAAAGTGCCCTTCAAAGGACCCTGTTCACTGCTGCACTTTTAAATGAATTAAAACTTATTTCTATTCTAGTGGAAGTGTGTCCTTTGTTTTAGTCCACGAATAGTAGTTTTGACAAGATGCTTTTATTCCTTGATGCTGTTTCATGTTCTAATCACTCACCCAAGTGCAGGAGACTGGCCATTTCCACGCCGGGTGCTGCAGTTCATCCGTCCCTGGAGGGCACCCCCACGTGTGGTCCCGCTGCCCGAGCTCCCTGAGTGGGCTCCACGCAGCGAATCCTGCCTGATGAACCTCGAGCATGTATAGCCCTGGACAAAAGTCATCTTACCTTGGCTGGCTTAATTCAATAAACCAGGCTCACGTTCCTAGGAGTTTTGCCCTGATATTCAGTCATGTGACCCATTGCCCCAAATAACTTCATATGGAAGTTCAAAATCTTTTCTAAGAGGGGAAGTTCGAATTTTAGGCTTGCAGTCCTTGTGGTCTCTGTTGAAACTACTTGACTCTGCTGTAGTAGCGCAAAAGTAGTCCAAATCGATAGTTATGTCAGTGAGTGGCTGTATTTTAACAAAGCTTTATTTACAAAAAAAGAACGTGATTTGTCAACCCTAGACCTACAAAGTTGCCTTATCCCTTAAAGGTCATGAAGGCCAAGTAGAAAAAATGTTAGAAGACTCCCATCGAGTTGCCAGCTTACTACCAGAAAAGCAGGCGATTGGGGTGCACCACCGTGTGAAGCCATCAACGAGAAAAGGGGCAAATTTACCTGCATAGACGCACAAAGAGGTCGAGTACAGCCTCTACCAGATCTGTTTCCCTCATTTGTCCCACCTGTTTTCCCTGAGACTTCCCTGCCCTGTAGAACCAAGTTCCCTACAGAATTAGTCTTTGTTTCATCTTCTTTCTTTACTAGCAATGGGTGTAAGGGGTTGGTCACGTGTGCCCTGAATTCTGCTGAGGAGACAACAGAGCAGACAACTACAGAACCCAAAGGCCCCAGACCAAAAGCACTGTGCTGAGGCTGCCACTGATGGCCTAGCAACCATCACATAAGACAAGATTTAAACATGGGATGCGGGAGCTAGCTCTGTGAGTACAGGGGAACAGGTAATCATCCTAAATCCTGGTCTTCCAGGGAAGCTTGCAATGACCACCTTCTGCCCAGGAGACCTGGGATCTACTGACGTCCTCTTAAGCTGCAGCTTTGACTTATGCTGGTAGGTCCTCAAAGGGTAGACGGGCACTAGGGATGCTTGTAATTACTATCAGGATAAAAAACAGCTGTGCAGGGTAGGTTTTTCCCCTCAGCTTAATTTATGCAAGCTCACATAGGTAATCAGAGTCGGGGTTTTAAAAGATCTGGCTTCAAAGCCATCTTTCTGTTAAACTCTGCTGTCTGGTCTGCAAAGGATTTCTGCCTCTGTCATGCATCTGAGGGCCCACTCCCCTCGCTAGTTCTGTCCTATTCTGGAGCTATTGGACATCATGTACGTTAACAAAGAGCATTTGAGAAAAAAACTTCCAACCAAGAGTATGCCCTCTGGCAAAGTTACTCAGAATTGAAAAAAGTTTTCTGGGCAAGAAAGCTGTAATCACGACTAAGCCATCTTTAAGCTTGAAAGAATGGGGGATAATTAGAAGACATTTGAAAGTATAAATCTCACTAGTAAAGGTGAGATTTTTATATAATAAAAAGTAATGGGTTAATCAGAGTATGAAGGTTAAAAGACAAAAGATAACTATAACTACAATTAAGGGGTACACAAGATAAAAGATGTAGAATGTGAAATCAAACACACAAAAGGGGAGTGAAAATAGAGGTTTAGCATGTTCAAACTTAAGTCGTTTCCAACTTAAAACAGACTGTTACAAATACAAGTTGTTATATGTAAGCTTCAAGGTAACCACAAAGCAAAAACCTATGGTATTTTATATACAGAAAAGATAAAGGAATCTAAGCATACTACTTCAGAAAATCATCCAACCACAAAGGAAGAGAGCAAGAGAAGAAAGGAACAGAGCAACTACAAGACAGAAAACAACAAAATGGCAATAAGTACCTATCTTTTAATTACTTTAAATGTAAATGGACTAAATTGATCAAAAGAGTGGATGAATTGGACCAAAATAAAACCATCTATATGCCTGCTGCCTATAAGAGACTCACTTAAGATGTAAACACATATACAGACAAAGTGTAGGGATAGAAAAAGATATTCCACACAAATGGAAACAACAAAAAAAACTATCCCTGTATCAGACAGAATAGACCATAAAATAAACACTGTAATCAGAGACAAGCGGTATTACATAACAATAAAGGGATTAATCCAACAAGAGGACCTAAGGTTCATATTTATGCACCCACCAGAAGAGCACCTTTTCATATAAAGCAAATGTTAATAGACTGAAAAAAGGGAAAAGAGAACTTGTCTCTGATATCTCCATTTCCAAGGCAACTAGTTTCAGACTAAGAATGGAGGTGCCACTACCATTCAAGTGGCTTCTTGTCCCACTTCACAGCATGGCTGTTGGAAAACAAATCAAAACACAGCTCTTCTCCTGACACCTCGCTCACCTGTTTCCAGCACAACTTCCTGCAATGCATCAGCATTGGTCCGTGCCACCAATGGGACAGGACTCATGTGATGGTGCGATTTCTGAGGCTCCATCATAAAAGACACGGTCACTTCTGCATTTTTTCTCTCAGACTATTCGGGGGGAAACCTGCCACCATATGAAGACACCCAAATAGCCCTAGGGTGAGGTCAACGTGATGAAGATCGGTGGACTACTGCAAATGATCGGTGCCAACTAGCCAGCCAGCAGAGGGAGCCATCTCAGAAGCAGACCCCCCAACCCCGCCAAGTTCATGTAACTATGCCCAGCCCACGCCAACATCTTAACTCATGAGGGAGCCCCCAGGCCAGAACCACCAGCTTACCTGTTCCAAACTTCTGACCCACAGAAACCACATGACACATTAAATGTTCATGTTGGTTTAAGCTGCTGAGTTTGCAGTAATTTGCTGTGCAGCAGTATTTGACTAATAAAATGACCCATGCTGGTTTACCATGAGAAAAACTGGATCATGCCTTTTGTCAAAATCTATCCAAGTGCAGGTACCTGAGAGAAAGCTGTCTATTGGTAAAGGCTCACTTATTGCCAAAGCAAGGGGCAAAGTCTTACATACATTACATGCTTAAAGGCTATAAACACTGGTTCCCAGCTATTGTTACTAAAACTAGGCAGAAGCTTCTTTGTTGAAATGGTTGCTAAAATGCTCTCAGCACGTGGTGGAAAATATTTTAATGGACTCTTTCTGGCTAGCAGGCTCGAGTCACAGATCCCAGTCTCCTCTCCCGGGGGCTCCGTCACTCACGAAAGCTGGTGCGGAGGAGAGCAGAACAGAGGGCAGAGCAGGTCTCGGCAGCTGCAGCGTGTCAGGACTCTGGCTTGGTTTCTGAGACACCTGTTGTCCAAGTGGAGACCATCAGTCACTCCTCCCTTGCCTCACCGCTAAGCTAGGACAGTAGCTCAGAAGCACAACCGATTCTGTTTTAAGTCCCTAAGAAAATGGCTGAGAATGGCTGCGTCGTGCACTTGTCTTCCCCGTCTCCCCACCCTCAGCACCTCCCAGAGCAGGTGAGCAGCAGCACTGGGTCTGAGATCCACGTGACAACCTGGGTTCCTTCAGCAGCCTGGAGTGGGTGACCACTGACCCTGAGCCTGATGGGGCGGCCTCCAGCCTCTGACTACTCTGTCTCCTGCTGCCGCCACAGAAAACAGAGCCCAGGTGCCGATTCTGGTTCTCTGCTCAGCAGGGGAAAAAACAAAACCAGGCCCCATTCCTCCTGCCCCTCTTCTCTTCCTGCAGTGCTACGGAAGGCCCTCCTTATGAGTTTGGCTGGGGAGAACGCTGACTTACGGAAGCTGCAGCTTAGGGGCCACCTGCAGGGGCCCCTTCCAGCCCCTAAGCAGCACAAGTGGCCGTTTCCAGACAGGTCTATGAAATGTTTAGCCCTGCAGCTGGGAGAGATACCAAGCAAGTTGAGGATCCAGTCCAGAAGATGACCATCTAGGGGAGAAGTCATGTGCACAACACTGAGCAGAAACGAGGGTGAAGACCCCACCCCCACTGCACCTGCACGTGGCCCTCAGCCCTGGTGTGTCAGCATGGCCCTGGCCTCACAGACACGCGACAACACTGGGCTCTGACCTGTCAGAGAAGGAAGACAACTCTGCCACCATATTTATGGGGGGCACAAGCGAAGGCACTGAATAGTGAGTTTTTGATCTTCCAATCACCCTAGGTTAGAATCTTGAGTGTTCCGCTTATAACTTCATTTCCTTCTCTAAGCCTGAGGTTAAAAAACAAAAGGTTTCTGCTTAGAAAAACGTCCGTCTCAGAAACTGCGTCCTAGGTGATGCTTCCAGATGAATGATAGCGTCGGCACCTTGGTGTAGTGGTAGGGTGGCCGTGAAAACCGGTAGGAAAAAGAACTTGGAAAACAGGACCACCCTGCATGGTGTCGGCTTTACCGGCTTTACCGGCTTTACCACATACAGGGTGCCCTCACGTTCACTGTCTTTCTTACTCCTCACACCAGCCCTGTGAGATAAGCAAATGCTTTGTAGGGAAAAAAAGTTGGTTTCACCCACAGCGACTGCCATTGTGAGTTTTAACTCTGCTCTTGCCGAAGATGCACTCTTAACCTAGGGAGAATTTAGCCCTAGTGCTCTTCTCATAACGGAGGAAAAACAGCAAGAGTGATGCCGATATAACGTGCTGCCCAAAGACCTCAGGAACCAGGCCCCATACATAGGAAATGTCCATCTAAGTTATGAATCCTGCTTGGTTCACTCCTACACATCCTTAAGGTCTCAGCTCTGGTTCACATCCTCCAGGAAGCCTTCTCTAACTTCCTAAACACTCAGAACCCTCTGTGCTTTATCTTCGTGACACTTACCAGTGTGCATTGCACGTGGACTCTGGTTCCCATGAAGACAAGGGTCATATTCTTTCTCACTGGAATCTACCGAGCACCTAACATCCTGAGGGTAATTT